TAGCGTTAAAATTACTGTCATTGTTGAGCAACAGACCCAGTCCTCCATTCGTGCAAACTCTTAACGTCTTAAGCGCTGAAGACCGAGCCTACTAAGCATGCCTACACAGTCACGGTACCATATCTCCGGCAAATCTGCTATAAGTCTATAAGGATGGTCAGAATCATGTAGCCTGCACAATCCAATCTAACTAGACATTACCCATTGTTTTGACAGTCGCCCTAGCAGAACCACAGGTTCGTAACAGTCTCGTTATGCATAGCCCTCTGAACCAGTGTCTGTTCGGGACCCCGAAAAGAATATGCGCCTCTCTTTGACAAAAGCCAAAAAATCCCGTCTTTCAGCCGTACCCTAATTCTGTTGAATGGACCAACAAAACCCCAAACTTTACTGGCTCGACAAAGCCCGCAAAGCCACAAGCAAAATCATCGTGCCCCCAATGCTAATCGATAGTTTTGGGGTATGGTATGGTATGGCTAGAAACTCGGCATCACCCTAGATCAAAAGCTCCAAATTCGCAACTCCAGGCACCAAAACCCGTGAACCAAGTCTAGAGTCTAGGCGGAGTTTCCGAGGAGAAGCGATCCCGACTTCTTTGCAAGAGCACCACAAGCATGTGAGGACGACTCCCCTCCAAAGCCCAAGAAACCCTCCCAAGACAAGGAGCTGCGAGGCCGGGGTGCCAGGTCCCTGTCTGAAATATCATAATATAATACAAGTATCAGATACCCCAAAACCCTGAGGTAGGTCGCCTCGGAGCACCAAGCCGGCTGCCCAAAGGATTCGGTGAGCAGGAGTCACTCTCAGGATCTCCTTCAAACTTACAAGGTTCAAGAGGCCGAAGCCCGCACAACCTATCGTACAACACAGTGGTCATTAGTGTTTGCTTCTCCACATAGATGCAGAGAGTTACTGTGCCAATCAAAAGGATGAATCTCTGATGTTTTTTGCTTCTCTATGCTTCCGTACCAAGAAGCCCTCTTGACGTCAACACGAACTCGTCTTATAGGCTACTGCAAGACTGGAGGGAATCTCGGACCTCGGATAAGTATACATAGACGGACGCAGTGCTACCAGGTTCCCCCGTCACAACCACGCGTAAAACATAATCTCTTCTAGACACGATGCCAACCAAGGCAATCTATAACAGAAAGGTCGCTTATGCCCGCACTCTCTCAACAGTGCCTCGCTCGAGACGGCTCGTAACAGAAATATCCCATACACATATTGAATAACAAAACGATGTGGTGCTGTTTCTGCGACATCCAACGCAACCCTTCACAGATCCGATTCTTTTGCAGATCTTTGGCAGATCTGTTTCAGAAAAGTTGCGTTCCCATACACGACTCTGCTCAGTTCCAACACTGTTTTCTTCAGTCTGCGTTCCTTTCCGTCTCGGTTATGTTTTCCGTTTGAATTTTCAACGTTGCGCATTCAATTCCGGCTTGATTCCGCTCCGTGTCGTTCTCAACCGTTCCATCGCCTTCCCAAACGACGAAGGCCCCAAAAGATGTGAAAACACAAAGATGCAGCGAGGAGGCCTTCGGGCCTTCTGACTAGGGCCAAAGTTCAAAGAGCTCTTGCTTGACTGAAGAAACCCGGCGAATCCACATGCAATCTTTTCCGAAACCCACCTACATATCCGACCAGGCACTGTGCAGCCCTTGTGAAAACATGTTTTTGTGTCTGCTCCTTCTACGGCCTTGCATGCTCTGCAAAGACACAAGTCGAAATGGTGGTCGAAAAGTACGGCGTGCTTTGTTTAGTGGTCCTTGAAAGCCTGACCCCACCACTTAGCGAATTTAGCATCTTCGAACATGATTCTGGTGGTACCCGAAACGGCATTGAAGCGCCTTATAATGCCTTACAGCCAACGTCTGAACTGATCTCTGAACTTCAAACTCGAAAGCCGGAGGCCCCCCCCAAATGCCTCACTTCCAGTTGGGATTCCCAGGATGGGACCCGGAACACTAAGATGCTGATTACATCATGGCTCTTAGAATCCGTTCTCTACCCCATAATAGGAACCCTAAGCCAGTGCAAAAGCGTTATTGTCCGAAGGTTCTAGCCAAGCTCCAAAAAGATTCTACAACCCTGCAGAATCGCATCCCGGTGTCGGGGCGTGTGAGCTTGAAACTGGAAAGGTGCTCGGCCACTCTTGCCACTGCCTTCCTCATGTACGCCTGAAGCACTTAGGGTTTAGGGTCTCAGCGTTGATGGGCCCCGGTACAGGGGCCACGAGGAAAGAGACCCACTCTGAAGCTACTCGTCCGTTGTGTAATTGTCAGGTGTGTCTGATCGGCTTTTGATGTCTTGCTGCTCGCTTCACCTGCGCTCTCGCTGTAATACAGCACAGATCATGGTAAACTGCTCAAGCGACACTAACACGACGTGATGTCGACCATGGTCCTCCTGGACAAAAATGCATAATGAGAGTCTGGCAGGGTCAGATAGTTCGCGGCTTGGATTAATTGAAGGAATCCATCCACCTATCCTGGCAACTTTTCATGTAGGGAGCCCTCTCAATCAGCCTTTCACATTGTTCTGGCCGCAGCTTGTTCTACTGTAAAACATCATGAGACCGTAAACACCGCTCCTTGCGTCTGCTTCAGGATTCTTGAACTAGTCTTGACATTATGACAATTTCTGGGTCTTTGCTTTGTGAATTGCATTGTTGCTAGTTCACTCTACGGTGCGCTCTTGTATGACTTTTCCACCAGCTCACCGAATTTTTCCTACTAGATATCTTCTCCTGCATGTCGTTCGATGGCCTCACAAGGCTGTTTCTTTTCATGTCCGTATTCTAAGGGCCTGAATTATTAGAAGAGGGTGTTGGGATATGTTCTACTACATGAAAAAAATTGTAATAGGACTATCAAGGACTGGTATGGCGAAGTATATCAAATTACGAGGTAGGAGGCTTCGGAATGAGCCATGTCCACAGCTTTGTGACATTTGAAATAAGGTTCAGCGATGTTTAGAATATCTCAACACCGACTCAGGGAACACTGGGCGCAACGCCATCACCTACTCATGCACTATTATTGGCACTATTGCATCGTCCGGCTCTGCCTGTTTCAAGGCTGGTCAGCCCTCTCTTCGCTCTCGCAAGAGGGCCATTCTCTGGCCGCAACGGATGGATTCATGCGACAGAGAGTTCGAGTCTGAAGTACCGATCTGATCTCGACCCTGCCCGAAGCTCCTCGTCGACGCAAATCAAGGGCTCTTCTGCCACCTCATGTGTCGCCTGCGTCGTATTCCCTGTCGAAAATGTGGAGTCCATGGTTGCGTCAGCGTAATCCTGCGTGCTCATCTGCGAGCTATAAATGCTGCTGACGACATCGTCCTGCCACGAGTGCCGCTTCTTTTGTAGAGCTTTGGATGCGGGATGTAACTAGATTACTTCGGGTTTTGGCTGAGATTTCAGAGCGCAGGGTTTGGAAGCCTGGCTTCAAGCTTGCGAAGTGCCGATGGGCTATACCTGAGCCCCATAACCGAACATCTCCGAATGAAGGTTGAACGTGCGGCAAAGCCGCACTTGTTCAGATCTTTAGGAAGATCTTGGAGGCATGACTACCGGTGAACGTGCGAGGGTAGATCCGTCCGAGGCCTCCAAAAAGAAGCCAAAGGCTGAACTGACAGCATCTGCGAACTCCCTAAAGAGGCAGAACTAGAACTCTGCACACAAACCCGGGTTCTCTGCATTTTCATCTCCCTCCCTGTCCTCGGCGTCGGAAACGTCTATCGGAAGATCAACTCGGTCTTCGCTTTGATGCTTTTGCATGGAAAGAGGAGCGTGCCGAACAGTCGTATGGACAAGCGCGTTGTAGGCTGTCTGCTTTGATTTCATGATACGGATCGTGCTATTGGCGATCTGTGCTCATGTCCCATATTTCCAATTCCGCGAGTATTTGCCAGTTGCTGCGGGAAAGACTAGAAGAGCCAAACGCATGGACATGCTGTCAGGGAATGTCAGGGATATAGGATGCCCTTGCCAAAGCCCTGTTATAATTATACGAAAATCACGAGCCGCCCTCATGAGCCAACCAAAAGCTTCGCTTCAACACATTGTGTAGCGCACACCTTTGGTACATTGACATACATACCATATATATATACTTGCATATATGCATACATACGTGCGTGTCCCACAAAGCCTTCGCAAGTAAACGGATATAATCCTGAAAATCTCTTGCCCGTTCTTACCTTCAACTTCTCCTGATACTCCCAATTAGGTTTGCGGTGCGGCATTTGCGCAGGCTTTAAACAGCTTCAGAAGTAGCGACGGTCAAGACAAAGACAGCTCGGTTTTTGGGACTTCTACGTTCGCTTTCAATCTCGAGGCTCAGCTCTGAGGACCCCGAGCACGAGCACCGGGCACTGATCGAAACGAAGAAGAGGGAAGAGTTGCAGAAGTCCAGAGTATATGCTGGTAGCCTAAACCCGAGTTGTAACAAGCACAAGGCAAAGACCCAATCAAGCCCTAAAACCCTGCTGGTGCAATTATGTACCATCCTAAGTCTTAGAACCCAAGTGCCTGGCAACCTCCTCTTCATGGCTTCCGACAAGACATCAACTTCACTGCACATAAAAACGCCTTCGGCCGAAAAGGTTGAGAACAACACCAACTCCCTGGAGTTCTGAAAATCCCTCACGGTGACTTAGAAATCGGTCGGAGATGTACTTCGTGCATACCAGCGAAGACTCCTTAAGCTACGGCACCATTCGACGGATTCTTGAAGCAGTTTAGGGTCTCATCACGGCGTCTCCAGAAAGTAAGACCCAAGTCTTTCTGGGACCTGAGAATCCCTCGGTGCTAACCCCCTCTTGCCCTAAGGCTAGAAACACTGGATGTGTTTTAGGGTGTTTGGAGGATTAGAGGGCCTGCGATCCTTGCCCTAGTTGGTGAGGTCCCTACAAGAGAATGCCACAGTAGGATTGGGCAGTGCCTCCAACATCTAAAGGTGATCTAACCAACTGCGCCCGGCATCGAAAGAGGCCTTGAGTCGCAGAACCTCCGCGCCACGGACGAGGTAGTATTCCTTGCCGTCCTGGCTTTAAGGCAAGCATTCGGAGTTTTAGATCTTTCTCAGGGGTCCTTAAATTTCCGAGTGGTTGGCAAATAGTGCAACAACAACAACGATGTTAGATTGTTGTCTGAATAACCGACAGATATGTATGGTATATACATATGCCGTAACGTATGCTTGAACAACCTATGATACACCAGATGCCTGACAACATGTGTACACCAATAAACAAACAAATCAGTATCTACATAGGAAACCCCAACGCTGGTACCAAAAGGACGTCGATGGGCGGAACTTACGTGGCAATACTGTATTAACTAACCCTATTCCCTTATAGTCCCTGTATGACTCGAGTATAACATACCCCAATAGAAATAACCAAGTGAGAACACAACCTAACAAGAGCAATCGTGGGAATGTGAGGAATTCCCAAGCATAGTCATCATCCAAGTAACAGTAACAAGACACAGCTTTGCAACCAGCAGCAACAAACACACGTCAGAGTTTATCTGTGGAACACAACTCCCCCTGCATGGCCCTCGTACGTTCAGACAGAGCCCCCAGTCACTCAGTATTTATCACTCCTGTTATACACCCGGCAATATTCCAAAGAGCTGTGAAGTATGTGTTCATATATTTATTTATATATATATATGTATGTATATGAACATACGTATAACAGCAAAACCTCATGGAGACTCCTACGCCACGTAGATGTTCTTACGAGCTAGCACGGCTACTTTGGTCTGGTACAGCCAGAATAGCAGGCCCTTCGGGTTTCTGTCCAGGCCAAAAACATATGGGTCATACTTAACTGTCATGGTGAAAGTACTAGCAGGTATGATACTAATCATGATAACAAGAATATCCGCCTAGGGCTACTCATAAAGCAGCTGCAGTAGTGGTTCGGGCTCATGACCTAGGCTTCAGGGCTTCGGGGGATATTGCTAACACCTGGAGAAAAGCTGCAAGTGCCGATGGGATGCATCGAAGTTCATACTTCTGGGAGCAGCGGCAACGATAATCGTCTTGGCTCATCATGGAGGGATGTCTGTTCGACCCTGAAGCCGAAACCAGAGTAGCAGGAGCAGTAATGATGCCCTACCGTTCAGCATCGTTTGCTGTCTCGCCAGGCTTCTTGGCTTGAGGTTCTGTTACTCCCAGTCCCAGTGCCGAATATGCAGCCGCCACAAAACCCTACATAACACTGCAAAGCCCGAGTGAAATGCGAAAGCACCTCTACAAGGCCGGAGAAACCCCTGTACGAAACTTATACATGAAGAACCTATATCAAACGCTACTGCGGGAACCCAAAATGGTGGGAGGCACCAGGCAGTTCTTCCAACAGCCCTGCAGCTCGGATAAGACTCGATCCTGCTCATGAGGGATTGGAGCTAAGTGTAGGGTTTCGTTTCTTTTTGGAGATTTTGCGGTTCGGGTTTCAGGGTTTCGACTTGCTTGGAGGTCGTAGGGTTTGGGGTACAAGGTCTAGAGTTGAAGGCTCCACTTTTCTAGGTGGGGATGGGTTCTCGGTTGACTTGTTTCAGGCGTGTGCGGTGCATCTAGGGCTCAAGATGTTAAGAGTGCTGTGTGTTCTACGATCTGAGAGTTGGGTTTCTCTTTTTGACTTAGCGTTGCGGTTGGAGCTGGCCGCGGAGCTCAAGAGGGTCTGTATGTATGCGACTTAGGCTCTATGGGGCTCTGGCATGACCTGAAGTTCCACACCTCTTGAATCGAAGTTTTGCGCAGCGCCGGGAGCCCCACATGACCTAGCGGACGCAACGAAAGCCCTATAAATATCCCACCATAACAGCTCTGAGCCAACAGCGAAAGTGGTCCAAATCCAGCTCCGCGAAACATAACACCTCCACCGAGAAACGCCAAGAAGCGACAACCTCAAACGACAAAACCCTAAGGACTCAAGCCCATAAAAAAAAGCCTCGAATTCAGGCACAAGCACAGGTGCAAATTCTTGCTGGCTGCTCCCTGCAGCCTTAAGCCTGTAAACTGTAAAATCTGCGACCCGAAACCTCAACACCCCAAAAACCCCAAACACTAAAGCCTGAAGCCCCCAAGACCCTCAAGCCTCAACGTAAAACCCTAGAGCCCCATCCTTCTGGCCCAGCGTGGGGGTAGCAGCAGGTCGGCTTGTGCAAGAGGTCTCCAATGTCCTGAGGGCTTCCGATACTGTCTTGACTTGGGCTGTTTGTAGGGAACGTACACCAGAGCCCGGCCACCTGCACAGTGGGTCGCTGTTCCGAGACGATACAGAGCTCGTAGCAGTAGCAGCCCAAAGCACCGTAGCCTACTTTGTACAGTTGCTTCCAGTTAACAAGCTGATCTAAAGGTTTCTGTTGAAGGGATTCTTTCCATACAAGTCCTCAGGGCTTTCGAAGGAAGGCTTCTTGACGGCTCAGGAACTGTAGTCAAGCAGTATTTGGGTTTTCGACGGGGGCCCTGGAGGGTTTCATGCGAGTTCCAAACTTTGTCTGGATGCTTTGTAAGTTTCAGGAATCCAGCCTAAGTTGCGACAAAAACGAAAGTACATATCCTTTGTTTCATGCCCCGAAAAAGACCTCCCTGCCACGAGTGCGACTCACCGGTTTCAGCGCCGTAAAGCTTCACATGTCCAGAACCCTAAACCCGGTTGCTGTAGGTGTCCAGAGCAACAACAACAACGAGGGCGCGGAGTCTACCGGGCAGAGTGTGCTACTGTAGGCAGCTGACCCCTCTCAACAACAAGAGAATCAAACTGACAAAGATGTTTGAAGGTAGTTTCTATGACTGGTCAGGTTTGAATATAGTCTTGCCTGACGCCCGGACTGCACAAGCAACAGCTGAACAGCAGGAACCTTCCTTAATATACGGCCTGCTTAAGACCTGAAGCCGCAAGACCTAGTGAGTCTTGAGCCCTTAGTGAATTTTTGCCACAGTAACTAACTTCTTGGATCCACCTTTGAAGACCCCTGAAAGCAAAAGCGATGCCTTGGCGGCACCTGCACCGGTATCGCAGCAGCCGCAGCAGCCGGAGCCGGAGTCACCTTGTAGGGGCTTTCTCGGGGGTTCTTAGGATGGTTTAGGGGTTCAGAAAATTCAGGGTCTTGGGGCCTTGGCGGTTGAGGGTCAACCTTTGCTCGAAAGGCTCTTATGATCAGCGAACACTGAATGCTAGTCGTGCCGTTGCGATAAGCACAGGTCCTTCTCAGAAGGTCCGCATGGGCGCTGCGACTGCTCTGGTTGCTGCTAGCTAGCCCTGCCAACATGCTGCAACTTCTAGTCTTCGTGCTTGCAATGCAAGCAATGCTGGAGCGGGCTGCCGAGTTTCAGGCTTGAGGTGAGAACCATCTCCCTTCTCTTTGCAAGGCTAGAGTATGATCCGGGCTTCGCAGGTCGGAGTGTAAGGTCCTCCGTCATGTCAAATAGGTTTCGGTGTTTAGGTCAGCTGAACTTGTCCTTCTCATCCCGCAAAGCACGCTGCCCTTGCTCCAGGCAGCATTGTTGTCCTCGGTCAGGACGAAGATCAGAGAGTCATCACGGACCGTACACTTCCACAAGTCTGTTCAAGGCATGCGCGTTCGGAGCCACGAACCCCCCCGCGATGGCCGGAAACCGTCAGCGATCCAGAAGGGCGCGCGGGGGGGGGGGGGGGGGGGGGGGGCATTTCAGTGTCGAAGCACAGCAACGAATTGATTAATTGATTGGTCCCCGGGTCTCCCCTTTCTACAAAAAGCACAAAGCTCTGAAGACTCTCAGAATCCTCCAACCATGAACCTAGCATCCCACCGCAAACCCTCAACCTTCACGTAGCCCTGTTTAAACCGTAAGCCGTAAACAGATAGACAGAACATGGGCTGCTACTATACGGGGAATAGAAACCTAATCTGTTGGGGAGAGCCAAAGCAAAGATTACAGCAATTCAACACAATGGCCCTAACCCTCGGAGCCGCTAATAAAACACATGTCCCGAAGTATTGGGGTTTGCGGGTTTGAGGCTGCAGGGATTCAAAGTTCCACCCTAAACCAAGCCCTAAAGGTCCTCAAGAACGTGATTTTTGTTGGGGGTCCTGACTCTTGGAAGGCCGAGAAGCAGTCGAAAGTGTTGGGAACGAAAATTCGGCGCGCATATGGCCCGCTTTTTTGACAGCTGGGCTCTTAGTGTCAGCCAGCAAGTCCGCCCACGCTCTGAAGCTCAGTTCTTCTGACTGAGGTTCCACATGCTAGCGCACCAAGAAACCGGAACTATCACAATCACTACAAGATCTCGTTTGATATAATGCGAGTTCATGTCTTTGATTGTGTACAGGTATGCCTCGGCAGCATTTTCCGAAAGGACAAGCTGAATACCAGCCGCATATTGCCGCATACCTAGACCTTTGGTCCTGCAATTCGACCCTTAAGCAGAAAGCAAACGTTGAGAACACCCTCACACTGGTGGATCCCGTCAGGATGGCCTCTTGCTGAGATGCCACGTTCGAGTCGCGGAAAGGAGTCTCGGCAACAGTGACATTGGCATGTGCACGTCAGCCGTACTACAATGCTGCTACTGGGATGGAAGACAGCCTTGCATCTCAACTAAATGGATCATTCATGTTTCTCCACGCAGCGATGAGTACTAGCAACAGAGCTTACCCAAGTAAACCCTCCCCAACCCAGCCCAAACCCGTATCACCTTCAGAAACAGTCACCAAGACCAAGACCCTTCCGTACAGAATCTCCCATTCCCGACTTGGCTCTTGACGAGAGCCGGATCCACCCGCTGCCACTGCCAGCCTTTGACCTAGCTTTATCCTGTTCTTGTTTGGGGTATTCTTCTTGTATTGGCAGTTGCAGGGCTTAGGTCCTTTTTGAAGGGAAGTTTAGGGTTTGGGGCTTATGACTAGAGCAAAGCCATACTCAAAGACAAAGCCAAACCAGGGAACCTTGTACACCGAGGAGCAGCTATGCCGAGGGTGTAGCAAGTGCCGCCATTACGTCTACGGTTGTACGCGGTGCTACAAGTTCGCGAAAGAAGAAAAAGGAGGCTTCTGCTTCGTGGGTCTGAGGTCTGGCGAAGGGCAACATGAGACATTGAGCCTAATTTTGACGGCCCTTGTTTTGGAGTCGAAGCCTCAGGCATGTTGCTGGGTCGAGATGTCGCGGGGTGTACGGGTTGAGGTGTTTCCTTCAAGGGCTGTTTGAGGTTTAGCTTTTTGTTGTACAAGGGCCCCGTTGCCAGGTGCAGGCAACAGCGGGGTTTTCTGAAAGGGTTCTTCAATGCATACCAGGATTCTACATGCGTCCCGAGAGGTCTAGGAAGGTGTTAGCAACGGCTGCAAAGACCTTTAGCTTAGTACCTGCTTGCAGATGCAAACCTTGGACAATGCAAACGCCAGACAGCGGTTTCCAAGTTTCTGTGTAGAGTTGTTGGGTCCGGGAAGGTGGTCAAAGCTGATGCGGCTTTCGGGCATGGGCCTTCTTCTCAGCAAGGCTACGAATCAAAAGCATTCAGTAATAGCGCCAGCTTGCACTGGTTATAGTCAAGGCTAGCATGTTACTCGTCGCATCGGTCTGCGGCGTCTACGGCGTAGCCAAGACATTGGTAGTACAGATTCATGACAGGAGAAGTTAAACGCATGGAGCACTGGCCACTCTGCGACTCATGGCGATGAGCCTTCAGTGCAAGAGAAGAAAGCTGCATCGACCGTTGTAATTCAAGATGTGGCGCCCAGGCGTGAACCGAGAATCCTTTCAGACACTGCAATTCCGCGCAGTAGCTTGGACCCTTGACCCCGTTGGAGTACTGGGGAGGATCACGCCGCACGCAACAACTTGCGCGCGCTCTGATATGTAGGAAATCCAACTCAGGTCACTTGTAACGCAAACCACCGAACCAGAAGCTTGAATGCCCAACCCTTCCTGAGCAGGGCTGCAATGCACTAAGCCCTGAATCCCTTCAGCCAAGCTGCAAACGCAACCCTAAAGCCCAAATCCTAAAGTTCTTAAGTTAAAGCTAAAGCCCCAAACACTCGGCTCGGCCCCCCCACCCCAGCAGTTCCAGGCTCCCTTGGGCCCGATAGGGCCTGGGTGTGGGCCTTCGTCGAATTTTGATCTCTTGAGAAGGCCTCTTGGGGCTGCCGAAATGTAATTATGATCAAAATTCTAACAAGAATACAAGGGTTGAGGGGTGTAGGGTCTACGGTGTCGAGAGGGTTCTGATGTCAGCAGGCTTTGTTTGAACAGAGACAGAACCTGGAGGTTCCTCATCTTCATGGGGTCCTGTACTTGCTTCGACGACGTCGGCCGCAGTTTGTCACTGTCAATGAACTAAGGTGTGGGGTTCAGGGTATGGTGTGCAACACCTTCAATGTGGAAGTTGCGGGGGCTTGAACTGAAACTTTGGCAGGACGAGGTCTCTACAGCAATAATCAATCACGGCCCCCTATCGTTTGAAACTCCCAAGATGTGCATGTGACACCAAGTGTGCAGGATGCGAGCAATTCCGGGTTGCTCCTGGAAAACACCCCATAACACAGGCTGAAGAAGTTGTAGTCGTGGCTGCTGTTTGGCAACCCGAGAGCTCAAACTCCCCAAAGCCTGAAGCCTCCGTCCACGGCTTGAGTAATGCCTCTTGCAGACAGCAGTACTCGACCTCACCAACACGAGAAGATCCAAGCCCTTGACACGATAAGCACTATAGACTTACAGGAAGGCTCGACGCCTTTTGTATCCAGCCCGAATCCAGCAACGATCACCTTGAACTCCTCAGCCTGCAAGCCTAATACGACAGCCCGAATCTACTCTACCCCAACGCACTACTCTGCTTCATGTACAGCACGGCAGAATCTCACAGCTTGGAGCAGAATCCAAGCTTCAAGGCTTAAAGCCCGCCCAAGCCTAAGCTCTTGAAGTCTTCCTATGAGCCGAGCTGCCTCCAGGGGAGTGAGCCAGTTGATGCGCGACCTACAAGACCACCGCCGCTGGGCTCTTCGGGAGTTTAAGCATTTCTGCTAAGGTGTCGGGTGTTGGCATGGAGAAGCTTGGGGCGGGGGTTGTTGGGCAGCATATAAATCGCAAAGCGCGGAGAAGCATGGCTGGATGATGCAGTGCAATGCAGCCTTTAACGACGACTTTACAAGAGAACTGAAAGCCCATCGTTTTAACAAGTTCGGACTCATCCGAATCCATTGATGGCAACGGGTGAGTAGCTCAGGTGTCTGTCCGTTTCAGAAGAGCTCCTGCCCAGATTCAAATCCTCGAGATTTCGAAGCGACATGTCTTCTTCGAGCTCCGAAACTCGCAAAGCGCCTCAGCCTGCAGCGTTTAAGCTCCGGCGCGAGCCAAGCTCCCACCACACCCAGCTTCTCTACGACGAGCATTTCCCAATGCAACTCTTGCCTGAACCCAGATGTGTAAACCCGAAACGTCCGAGAGCTGTCAGATTCTCCGATGCCCACTTGGGGAAGTGCAGCTCCAAGGTATTCTCTGTAGCGGCGGTGTCAACCTCAGTGGGCCGTCCCTGGAGGCTCCCGGGTCAGGGCTTCTCTGAATTCTCTGGGGGAGACACGAGGAGGGTTAGTTGGTGTGCTCGATACGTAAGGAGTGCAGCATTGCGCATGTGCGGGGGTGGGCTTCCCCAACTACAGCCTTTCCGGTGTTGGCTGCGTCAGCCATGCTATGGGACCACTCAGAAACCTACGATAGGACCTAAACAGCAGCAACCATCTATCTCTCTGTGCAATGTCGCTTACCTTGGGCGGAGCCGCTTCGAGCGAGGTATTTGTGCGCGAGCTTGTCGTTTGAGAAATGTCGCCATTCGGTGTCGCTCCCTGTCTGTGCACAGGATAGTTTACCCCAGAAGCCTGTTGTTCTATTCTAGTCATCCATATCACATGTTGGGGTGGTCCCAGGCGAACGGGTTGGGCCGTGGCCTACACTGCGTAGCATCCCTACCCGGAAAATCATTACACTACTCCCTTGAAGCTCCAGTGTACCTCCATCAAGAGAGCTGCACTTTGGGTGGGGCTTAGAGCACTTAGTGACGTTTTTCTCGAAATGCAGCCCAGGGCCCCCGGGATCCCCCGGGCTTCGGGGCTGCTCGGAATCGCACTTCTGGCTACTGTTTATCACATTGGACACTGGAGCTCCTATCCAAGAAGCCCCCGCCCCGAGAGTTAAGACGGCGACTTGCATGATGAAGCGCCCCTGCAAGCCCCACCTTCAGCTTTGTTTGTGAAGTTCGCGCTTTCTTGGCGGAGGCGGGGAAGGCTTCAGGATTCAGAGATCTGGCTGGGCCTGCCATGGAGCGGCCGAGTTCGAGGGCTGAGAGCCACGGAACCTCAAACCGAATGCCGAACCTTGGAGCCACTGATCTCATGTGGTAGTTTCAGAAGCTGGGCTATTCAACAAGAAACCTCACAACTGGAACACCTACATAGTCAGGAGTCATCGGAAATAAGTATACAATTTAGAACCACAATGGATAACTGAGCCCTCAACATGGATGACACTGTGGCTTGCGGTCAGCACGCTGTGTTGCGTTCTTCGCTGACGGAAATATGAACCACCGGCTTTCGGACTTCTGCTTCTTCATTGGTATGTGTGATACAGCGACATTGGGCCAAGAGCAAGCAACGAGGTCAAGTGCAGCATATACAGAAAGCAACAGCAAATAACAACGCAAGACAGACTAATCCAGGTAAAAATTGAAAAGCCAAAACCTGCACAGACACAATAGAACAGTCAGTTCATATGCAGCAGCGTATGCCTCAAGTTTTTTGTGCCCGGCCCAACACGCGCGGGCCCACATGTACGTATGCTCATTTATAAATACTTGTATGTATGCCCTCGTATATGTAGACAAAAGAAATTCATTTATACATGTTAGATATTATGGACACACACCAGGGAGCTTTCTTTCAGCCTGTGGCAAAGGCGACTAGGTCCCCGAACTGGACGCCGCTGTTCGTGCTATCCGGTCTCAAGACGAGCGAAAACCTTGAGTAGTGGTCTCTGGTTGCGGGTTTCAGGAATTGAGGTTTTCAGGTCCAGCCCTTAGGCGTTCTGGATGTATTGGCGAATTTTTGGTGACTCAGAGGTTCAGGATGAACAAGCAGGCGGTGTCTTTGGCTGGCTGTTGCGACTGTTCGGGGGCCGTGGGCTTGGACAAATTTCGGTCGACACATAATAATATGCCGCGAGTCTGGGCGTAAGTGACAAAACAAGCCAAAAGCTGACCTGCCGCCTTTTGCTGTAACCGCAGAAATCCCGAAATCCGGAACTTAGCCTGCCTGAGGCAACAGGCCCAGAACCAATAAGAAACTCGAGCAAGCCCAACCAGAATCGAAACAACTCCAACTAAACACCAAAAAAACCTGTGCCTGAATCTTGCCTCGCGAACACCCAAAGTTCGAAGCAAAGGCGTGAAGTCTCCCCAGGCGCCAGACCGTAAACATGATCTTGCAAAACGAAGCGATCAAATCCGCCTCGGCCCGCCTGCGCCTCTTTCTCAAGTTCTCCTTCTAGCCAATTTTCCGACTTATGCGTCTCTGTCGAGCAAACTCTTCTTCTCAATTTTTCTGGTCGCTCTCGCCTAGCTTGCTCATGCCTCTCCAGTTGCATTTTGTCGAACTCTCTTAGTCTCCTTCGAAGACATTGCCCCTCCCCTGCTTTACACATTGCCTAGTCCAGTTCTGTTATGCCTGTCGAGCGGTTCGCTCCTGAATCTCAGAATTGCGAATCCCTTTCTGCTGACTTGCTCCTCCTTCTCTTCACTGTCGAAGTAATTCTCTTGTCTCTTTTGCACGGTTTCTCACAAACTGCGGCTGTGCTCCATTTCTGCAGATTCTCAGGCAAGGAGAGTCGCAAAAACGACACATGAAAACCTGCGAGAAAGGGCATTGTCAAGGTGATTCCCCTCACCGCTGGCACTTGCAAGGTAGAGATGCTCAGAGATTAGTGGCTTGCAGCTAAAGCTCCATACAACTTCCAAGTCTCTGCACTCTGGATCCTGAAACTTATCACGCTGAACCCAAAACCCCTCAGCAACATGGGCAGGCCATACCTGGTCACCTTTCAGCTGGGTCGAAGGCTCAAACACTTCGCCCGTCTTCTGCCTGGACGAGCTGTGGAGCCGCAACATCACAGATAAGCGGTAAGGGTTTACACTCTCGCAACTTGGACTCGCCAGAAGAGGTCTCTGTCTTCGTTTGCACAATTAACTCACTGCTCTACTTCGCTGGCGGTAACGGCTTAGGATCTAGGAATCTAGGGCCAAGTTGGGGGCGCAATGCTTGATCGTCTTGTGCTTATATAGTGGTGGTCCTAGTGGCAGTAGTACTGATGAGGATAAGCACCAGTCTTGCACTGTATTCCAACCTCCGACGTTTCTCTCCAGGCTTTAAGAAACTTCTTGCGGCTGTCTGTCGGGAATTCGCAGGCCGGACATCTCACCGCGCCTTCCTTGCATCCTTTTGGCGACATCAATACCGTGTTTCTTGGATGCGCACATACGGCATGTGCATATCCGTGTACGAGGAAGGTTGCGAGTCCTTCAAATCGAGACTCGCCTCGCAAACCAAATTGGTGCGAAACTCCGAACCCCGCAACCCCAAGGTACCTGAACCGCGTCACGGACATCTGCTGAACCATGTAGAACTCGGTGGGTTCTTTGACCTTATAGAGATGCGAGGTCTCACAGAGCTTTGTTTGGGGAAGCTTTGTTTGGGGGGTGCTTCAAGCAGCCATGGCATATGAGCTTGTGCAGTCCACTGTGTTCGAGGATACGGTAAGTAGTGAGACCCTGTAGTTACGCTGTATCAGTACCTACCATTGCGGACTTGGTTTGCCATTTGCGATAAGTCCCAACGTCTGCAGGGCGTGCGCGACACGCGACACTGTAACGGGCTCTGTGATATGGTCAAGCCTCAGGACCATGGGCATCAGCGTTTGAATCCCTGTTGGCTTTGGGGCTTCCGGTCTTTGGCACCGGCATCTGGTTGCGAAGCCCTGAACCGCAAACCCCAAACTGAAGCAAGAACCGTAACTCCAAATGCTGAGCACTAGATTTCGAACTCCAAGCCCTGCACCCCTCGGCTTTAAACCGTCCCCAGGCCTGAAAACCTGAACCCCAAATGGCAAGGCTTGTACTCCCGAAGCACAAACATGAGAAGCCAGAATGTTGGAGCATGGTTATCCTCACCCGCTTAAAAATCAAAAAGCAAGGGATATCCAGCACTCGTCATGCTGCACCCATGTTCCAACGCTATCTGGTTTGGTTTGGAGTTGCCAGTCCGAAGCATCGACGATCATTGTGGTTCAGCCCTTGTAGAGTTCAGGGATTTGGAAATGATGTCGTCCGGTCCAAGGATCATCAGAGACTGTTCCAACGTGCTTCGCCTTATCCTTGCCGGTGAAATCTACTGTTTCATATAGCTGCCTCTTCAAAGGATGGCGCTTGAAACCCTAAAGCTCACCAACTTCCCATTTTGACACCCTGGGCCTAGACCCCCCAAATGGTTTCAGGCTCTGCATCGATGAAAGTTGGGAGCTTCAGGAAACAGCAGAGGACCTTAAACCACGATAGAACAGCCCATTCAGTAGAGGACACAGGTTCAAATCAAACCCACCCCCAAGTCGTTCAAAGCCAGCATTTCCAAGAGACCCGGCATTTTGCCAGCATCCTTGCAAGGATTCAAGGACCTCCTGTTGCAAAGCGTTGAGGCTCTGCGAGGCTGCCCAGGTATTTATCAGGCTTTTGTGTTGGCATGCTAAGGTTGTATGGGAGTTGGTTACGCTAAGCTTCTACAGGGTTGGAACAATGTTGGTTAATGGTTTCGTGGGAGCCTTTGCACTTGGAGCAATGATGCGCGCACGCTTCTGGCATAGCAGCCATCGATGGCCAAAAAGCTGGACATGTCTCTGAAACGTCTTTTGAACCATAATGAGAGCGGGTTGCAGGCCGTGCGCGGTGCTCACGGTGCTCCAAAAGGCTTTGCAAGGCTTCCAAGCATAAACGAGGAAGGCACCTTGAAAGCTCTTTCTTGGCTGGGATGTTGTCTTGGGATCAAAAAACCGGCTTGACGGCCTCCGAGCTGTTCTGGCAGCTTCTGCAGCACGCGGAACAGCTGAACATCCCGAATGAAGCTTCAATCTGAAGATGTGACGACCTCGACCTTCAACGCTTGTTGCAAAAAACACTTCTCAGCAAGAGATGAGATGAGGTGTATTACCAGGCCGCTATAAGTGAGACTCCACAGTCAAAGAGGGATTTGGAAAGTTCATGCAAGCCAGTTGACTGTGGAGAACCGAGACCCCACGACCCCAGCTTGGTACTACAGTCTGCTTGTGCCTCGTAGCACACGCTTATCTCTGCCCCACCTCGGACGGAGATTTCGGCTGTTGAGCTTTGCACTTGGAACGCTCCTCAGAACCAGGTAACTTCAGGTCTTTGCTCCATGCAGCCGTTTCGGGGCGCTTTCGGAGCTAGGGACACCTAGGGACCATACAGTCGACATCATCATCACGATCATCTTCTTTCATCATCATGGTCGGCGCCATCGTCATCATCTGCATCTTCATCAGTATCGCATCATGGCGACAGTGATGAGTATGAGCACCATGTAATCAATACCCGGGACTTCCCTCGCCACCAGACTCCTGCAATTGCAGGTGCCGCTCGAGGAGACACCCGACTCAGCTTCGCCGGCGATGTCGACTTAAGCCGAGGCCGATTTCGGCACCGGAGCTGACAGAGCACAGCGTGCTAGCGCGAACATGGCAGCATTTCAGAATCGCAGAATATTTCGGGGCTTTGTAAACTCCTGTAATTCCGTGATGCCGTCGGCAACACATGCGAGCCTTCATCTGGGGCAGGTCTCTTGAGTCCAAAACCTTAAATGCCGAAGCGCAGGATCCCGAAACCTATGGCAGCTACGGACGGACCCCATCATCACAGCTGCCCTAGCCCCGACTGTCCACCCTTCCGGTGTCCCAGAATGGAGGACTCTCAGCATGAGGCCCCTGCTCATGGAAGCTGCCGAGATGAGCACCGACGGTGGCACAAGACATGGGTCATTTCTATGTTGAGTGGACTTCAGGGTTTGGGGCGGAGTTTAGGGGTCTGGCGCAAATGCTAAGCGGAGTAGGGTCGGATGGAGCACGCAGCAGTGCAGCTTCGCTACGAGTAGACTGCT